CGGAGTGGACCCGGAGTTCGCTCCACTCCAGGCTTTGACCACATCACCCTCAGCATGCAGGGTTAATACACCTCATCTTTCCTTAATTTAAGACCTATTCAAACTGAAATGAGGACATTTATTACACTATTTGAGAAATGTAAGCATATTTATGGCCTTAAAATGATGAAAAGTGAATTTAAGACATAAGGACAGGCGGGAACCATCGGAAATCCGTCGTAGCGATGGTATTGGACACCCCTGACATCTGATTGGACACCCCAACATTTTATTCGTATGGCATTTTGATGCTGATAGAAATTTAGTGGAGAAAAAAAAGTGAAAGTGACATGCGAAGGCTAAGTATGGTAATCCACACAGAATTTATCCTCTGGATTTAACTCATCCAAGTTAGTGCACACACATTAGTAGTGAGTAGAGAACACACACACACACACACACTGGAAACAGTGGACACACACACACCCAGAGCAGTGGGCAGACATGTTTTGCTGTGGCACCCGGGGAGCAATTAGTGGTTAGACGCCTCACTCAAGGGCATCTCAGTCATTTCCAGCCATACTGAGAATCGAACCCGCAACCTTCGGGTTACCAGTCTGACTCTCGAACCATTAGGCCACGACTGCCCCGTTTAATTTCACTTCTTGTTGAAAGTGTGTCGGCACAGCATATTATTAATGTATATTAATGTTGCATTTTAAGAGAAAATTTATGTTGCAAGATAAAGAAGATTAAGAATACATGGAGGTCGCACCCTGTAGAAACTCAGAGCTGTTGAAAATCCTGCTATAATGTTGTGTAGTTGTTCTGGTGCCACTTCACAAGATCAACAAGGAGCGTGTTTTGGTTTTTTAAATGCAGGGTCAGGTTTAGACACATATTTTCTATCTGAAGTAACCATGGCCAGCTCCTGTATAAAACTCTAGTTTAGACCAGAAATGCTTCACTTCTTCCTGCCAGATACTGTCAGTGAACTGCAGGTCTGTTTAAGTGCATTCTGACTCTTATGTTGTGAATGACAGGATTCCTCGATTTTATTGGCAGGAGGATGGAAATAAACGCAGGTTGACATGCGGCTATACCCACAGGGATACAAGCGTGCCTTACGCACTGTAAATAAAGCAGCGTGAAAGATAGACAATGCTAAATTGAACATGTTTGTGTAAACTTAATGGCTGTATCAATAATGCAGCACATGATTCACAGCAGGAGAATAAACCAAAAAGTCTCCACGCATGATGTTTATTCAGGTCATTCTTGCATCCTGAAAGGTTTGATACGATCACTGAAGCTCGACTGATAAAACATTCATGCAAAGACGAATCCTGTGGGCTGACAGAGGTGAAGGAATGACAAAGAGCCGCAAGCTAATACCCTTCCGTCAGCAGTGATTTGATCTTGCGGCAATTCAAAGGCGGGCAATTCCTCAGAAAAATAGGCTATAGGCTTTTGACATAACTTAATGCCTTAATGGTTATATGCATAATATTTCAAGATTTTGCAGGTGCAGAGTGGACAGGCTTTAATAACCCAATCAGTCAAATAAATAGCATAGAAAGGGATGGTGCAAACCTGCTAGCTCTTGCGCTAAACTCAAAGAGCTAAGCTATGAAAGACGCACAGTAGCTGGTAGGACATTAGTCTCGTTTAGCCAGATTTTGGAATATCAGCAAAAAGTCTGTCCATTTATCAGCTAATAAAAACAAACATGGGTATCATTTGTTAACATTAAGGGGTACTCCGCCACGGGCAAAATGGGCTTTCAATAAAACTGGTCTGCCTATGCAGTAGAAAGGCGAAAACAATTGAAATCGGTGCTATAGCTTCCCTTTTGACAAATAGGTAGGAAAACTTAAACACCCATAATGCACTGGGCATGTTGCCGTCCAAGGCCACTCCCACCAGTCTGCTATGAATACGCTTACCAGAGTCAAACACCGCCTTGCTTTAGTAGGAAATACTTAACAAAATTGGCAAAATAATAGTTTTACTTGTATTGTTCCCGGCTGCAAGAATTCAAAGAGTAAACGTTTAGCGGGAGTGAGTTAATTTCGGTTTCCGGTGAAGGATCCAACATGTTGCAGAAAGCGGCTATAGGCTTCAAAGAATCATAAATATGGGAAAAAAAACGTGTGATGGAAAATCTGAAAAGCTTCCGTGTTTATAGTCCAATCTGCTCTACACTTCTAGGTCAATTACCAATAAATGTGCATCAAGGCAGAGCAACTGATGGATGAAAGTAGCAGTTCCTGCTGGATTTTACAGTAAATTAGCATACATGCTTTTACATACAGCAGTAGTATAACGCCCTTCGGTTTCACTAACAAGGGCGATACAGCTGACTGATGTTTTGTAGGTAATTGGAATAAAGGATTCAGCTGTAGCCTTTGCTTGTAAGAACAATCCACAGAGCGGGAAATTACAGCCCAGTTTTGAGTAGTTTGCATAAATCCACTGGTTTTGAAGTCAGATGCATTTGATGTGAACCTTCAAATGAGTCTCGGTTGATGTAGCATACATACATATGAAGATCACAAGATTTGGGTCACCTTTACTGAGCAGCAGAGTGTGTAATGAACGCTAATAAAATTTTACTCTCTTAGTATCATATACAGACCTTTATATGAAGACATTTTTTCCATTCACAAAATTTTGTGACATTCATTTAAAGTTAATCATGGCACATATTCATGGTCAAGGTTGCCTAAGATAATGCAAACATTGACTCTTAAAGGTGGGGTATGTGATTTTCTTTTTTGACCATTTTTTCAAAATCACTTGAAATCCTATTCCTAACCCACTTACAGCCACTGAGTTAGAAGCACTGAAATGAAAATTAAGCAATTTAATCATCCGTGGAATGGGCAGGACTCGAAAAACTCCAGCCAATCATTTCCAAGACCACCTAGAATCATTGGACAGTCAGTGCGTCAATCAAACGGTCGTACCATACCCCCCTCCCCCCCGCCCCCTTCGTGCGCATACTCAAAGCTCGTGGCCCAGTCACAGTAAGTGCAAGTCGCCCCGGTACAGAGAAGTGCAATCTCGCACATCTGAGTTTTGCAGATGCATGATTGCGTGTCCATGTTCTTCGAATGGGTGGAGTCAGGGCCAGCGTTGGAGGAAAGAAGGTAGGACCTTTTGAGTTGTGTATTTTCAAAATCTGCCGGCCGTTTTGCAAATCCCATACCCTACCTTTCAATAAAAACGGCAGTTCTTAAAGAAACAAATTAAATTAATTTCAGTTTACATCTTGTTTTTTTTGCCGTTTTAGCATATTTTAAACCTTGTTTTGTCTATTTCAAATAATAAGATAATAAGAATGAGAACATAAGCCATCTCAGGCTTTCAGTGAACGTTAGGGATGATAGTGACGGTCATATATCATGATGTTTTGCCTAGAGACAGAAAGTGATTCTATCGACTATCACAACAAGAGCAACTTCTTCCTTTGAACAAATCGAGCTCTCTAGCTGTAAATCCTGCTGTTAGCCGCAACCAAGCCCTGTGATGTTTTCCAACCTCATGCTGTCCGGGCTGATTTACACATGCCTTGCCACCGTGGCCGTTTCGCAAAAGTGGGTTTTCCAATCACCCGCCCTTATCTGCAGGTGGTGTAACCCCCCGGAAACTCAGAGACGGATGAGATAAATCTACATCCAGAACACACACATTCCCTCTGTGCATGAATGCAGGGATAGATCACGGCAGACTGCAGAGCTATGCTGATAGATTCATCAGAAATGGTGGACAACAAACTCCCTCTACAGTGAGAGACGGAGGCAGAGACTCATACACACTTGCAGAGAAGTGCAGAACTAAAGCACATGTTTGTGTTCACATCTATCAGAGAGCAACTCTGTAATGAGCCAACAGATAATCAAATTACATACACTGTCTGGTCATGCTATAGGAAAACGATATGGTCATGCTAGCAATTTATAACATAAAATACAAATAAATTCAATAAATGTAAATGCAACCCATTAAAACCTCAAAAAGATGTCTTTCAGAACAGGTTAGTCAATTCAATTAAGATATAATAGGCTATATCAACCTAAAATGTGAAACACAACTTGTTCAGATTTTTGCCTTTGATTTTTCTGCAGTTTTAGAGTAGCCCAGGTTTTGAAAATATATATTTTATATAAAATATGAATAATTAATTTTTTTTACATTGGACATTTCCATAAACTCAAACTTCTATAACTTTTTTTCTGTTTCACTTTCTTAATTTATTTCACTTCTGCAAAAATCTGCCAAATGTCTTCTCTAAAACAACGTATATATTCCAAAGCATTCTTGAATTACTACCATTTAGGTTTGAAATGTGCATTTTATTGTCTATTCAAAAAAAGGGGGGTGACACTTAACAGGTTAAGTCCATGGATTGTCACAGTTAGTTAACTGGAAAAATGAACTCTTTCTACCATTTCAATACGATATTTGCATTGGAATTAAAACGCAACAACTATATTAGAAAGCAGTCTTTCTTTTTCACTTTAATGCATAAAACGAATAGGTTTCTGAGCCAAAGTGACTCAAAATGATGGAGCATGACACATTTTACAATGTATTCTTACTATATGCTTCCATCTCAAACATATGTCAATATCGAGCAAACATCTCAATGCTAAATGAAACATCAAATCGACTCATCTGATGTGTATATGTGGTACGTGTGACAGATCTATGAACACAGATGGATGGTCTCAAAAAACACAGAGCATCTGTCTTCCTCTTTGACTAATTCTGACTGAAAATCAATATCCATTAGGCTGACTCACAACTCTGAGTGTCTATGGATCACCTTTATTTTATTTTCGAATCTGTGCCCTCGGTTTCAAATTGGGCCCGTTACAGATAAACCACACAGGGGATAATTTCTCCTTAAAACAGACCTTTCTCTGGCTGTAATTCATGTGATTATACATTAACTCCAGTTCCAGTTAATTACATAAAACAAGTTAGTGAGAAGAACGGGTGGGGTTGAATCTTACCTCAGCGCCCGTCAGGTAGAACGCAGAGAGAAGACCCCCAACGTAACGGATGTTCACCTCAAACAGGGACGCCTCTCCGTTCTGCAGAACAACAAACAACATTAAGAAATTCATCTTTATGCTTTAGCAACATTATAAATGACATGCTTTAGTAAATAAGGGGAAACATTCTTCAAAATGCTATAGCAAGGCCACGTTTGACCTAAATATGTGTTGGGAAGCTTTGAAATTAGTGGGGAACAAAAACATAAAATGCATGAAAATCTCTTAAAAGTGGCCACATTATGAGGAATCAACTTTTTCGTAATCCTTGTTCATTGTACTATACTTAGGCATAACTTTAAGATTTATGTTTTTGAATTGCATATAAAATGTCCATCTATTTGGATTACACAGTTTAACAAACTAATACAATTGATGCATATTTGTCATGCGTGCATAAATAAAAGATTATAAAAGTAATAAACTGCATGCGTTGTAAATACACAATATATTTATCATAAATATATCTGACAAATATGCATCACATTAACCTTATTAGCTAGTTTATGTTAAAAAAAATATGCATCACATTAACTGTTAAAACTTTGCATGGAAATTGCATATGGAATTCAAATACAAAAATCTTAAATTTAGGCCTCAATATTTTTTTCGAGTCTATGAAACTTTCAAAAACTCAATTCTTAAGGGACAGAAAGAGGGAAACTATTACTGTTTTGGCACAACAAATGGTCCTTAGAGAAATAATGAAAAGCACGACCCCTTTAAAGTACATTCTACATCTCAAAGAGTGATTTCTGAATCCGTATACAGCCCTGACCTCTGGACGTGTCGCTCAGCGACCCGTATTCATCACGCCGCAGTGCTTTCCTTCAGCAGGGAAACTGCCAAGATCTCCGAGGCCAAGGCCGGCAGGGTACACCATTATTAAACACTTTTAAATGATGTTTCCTGGCGTTGGGAGTCAAAGGAGGCTATTGATTTATGAAGAGCATGTGGATAATAGAAGACATGCAATTTCCTCAGCAAGTTTGTTTTTCCTATTGCAATTGTTTCTCGCTAATTTTGCTTCATCAAACTTCAAAATGATTACATTCAAAAACACTCAGATCGAAGTGATCTAAAGCCTGTTATTATATAAAGGAACAATTCACCTGAAAATAATTCATCCATTTACTTTCTTCAACGGAACACACAAAAAACTGACACAACGTTTATAATAAAGATCTAAAAAGTTCAAATGCTCCATAAAAAAAGTTTTTTCTTTTCTTTTTTTTTTTACTTCAGAAGACTAACAATATAGTACACAAACATTTTTGTCTTTACTAGAGCTTGAAGGGCTTTAAAATAACAATAATGTCAATATTTTATTTTTGGATAAACTATTCCTTTTTTTAGAGTCTAAAAAATGTGTCATATTGGTGCTGGTTCATAAACTATACAAAAACAAAAATATATTTCTTTGTAAATTCTCTAATAAGGGATTTTCCTGTCATTAAACCATTTTAAGCTCTCAGATCAGATTTGGACTGAACAAGTCGGTGTAGTTCAGTACTCGAGTTACAACAAACCAACAAACCTGCGCTTGCCATGTAATCCGATTCACTACAAATGACTCAATTGAATCAGATTTGGTTTGAATCAGTCCAAAAAATCCTTCACTGAATGAACTCAAAGCAGTTACTGAATCAACAATTTAGGCCTGGTTTCACAGACAGGGCTTAGATTAAGCCAGGATTAGGTCTTAGATCAATTTCAGTAGCTTTTCTAACCATAGCTTAGAAATAAACATTACTGGTGTCTGTGCACCTAGAGACATATATCAGTGCAAGTTGCTTTAGTTAAAACAGCTCAATAATGCATTTTAGTCTCGGACTAGCTAAAGCCTTAATTGTTTGTGAAACCAAGGGGAAATGATCTAAATGTTGGCTTACATCACCCACCTCATACATGATTAAGTAGACCAAAACTGCATTCAAATGTTGTGTTTTTAATCCAGTGGGCTATTAGATAATGGAGACGATTAAGAGGAGTTAAAGCCTGGGAGAGGCCCTAAGGAGATATAATATGTCAGCATAATTATGATCACTTGAGTTTGCAAGGAGTTGAGGTGACAAGAGTCCTTATTGACTCGAGGCCACTTTCAGGAAGGAAGCAGAATCTCTGGAGTAGATGATAAGAGAATTATAGCAGGGAAGTGTAGAGAGCAATCACCTCTTCAATCCATTCATCGATGCACTGATCAACAGCACACTCACATCTGACATCCAAACGGTTCCAGCTCAATGTGTGTCTGAAGCATTGCAGAAAGACAGCAGACATCTTAAAGCCGTCTTCAGAGCCATGTGTCAGACAGAGAGAGAGGAGTATCCAAAAAACACAAGACTTCACTGTGAGCCAAATGAAAGTAATCCCAACACACACAGAGCGTATTTCCGTCTTAAATCAGCAGCAGCACAATGCACAGCGGTAGAAAAGAGCATGTTTGAGGAAAGCACCCTAAACAACCACGAATTAAGAGAGGTTTTAAAAGGATTATCCCGAAAGAAATAGAACAAATCTTAAGATACAGCGCTTAAGTAGGTATTTGTGGGTAAATATGTTTGTGTATGTGGATTTCTTTCCATTTTTACAAAAAAAAAAAAAAAAAAAAATGGTGTAGGACCGATTTTCACTCAGAAATTGCAGGTAGCAACCACATTGAATTAGGGTACGTTTACATGACAACGATGTGCTAAAAACGGAAACGTTTTTCATTTTCATTTTTCGAGTAGAGACAACAAACTTGTCAAAATGATCCATCCGTTCAAACGGATCAGCGGAAACGACTAAAAACGCTGTATTATGCGTGTCAGTAGTGTGCGATGACACTTTGTAGAGCGTAACCGTTTTAACAAATTCACATTTTTGTAGTTAACACAGAGACGATAACAGTTTCAAAAATTTGCACTTTGAAGGCCCCCAAAACACTGCTGTCGTGTAAATGAAGGGCCAAAATGCATTAAAAAGTGTTCTGCTTATAGTTGAAAACGGTAACGTATAAACAGCAGCTTAAACGTGAAATTCTGAAACACTGAAATAGTATTTTCTTGTAAAATGTACTCATAAAAAATATTTATGTTGCAACGTATATAAAATAAAGAGTAAATTCAATTAACCCCTTAGCTGTCACCCCCCCTTTTTGAGAATGGGGGTTAAAATGCACTATTCAAACTTAAATGATTATAATTCAAGAATGCTTTGGAATATAGACCTAACAAGTTTGGTCTTGTTTTAAAGGAAACACTCAGCAGATTATTGCTGAAGTGAAAACACTTCAAAAAATGAAAGTATGAAAAAGTTATGGAAGTTTAAATTTACAGTAAATCAAATATACTGTACTACATATTTTTTATTTTATATAAAATATATATTTTACAAAATATTTTTTACTATAAAATTAAAGCCATATATCTAACCAAATTATTTTCCAAATTTGAAGTTGACATCACAAAAATTGAAGTTCCCATGAGATTTTGTTTAGGCGTAGTACCAAAAATAGCCACCGGGTGACTTAGCTGTATACATTCTGCCTTAACAAATGAATAAATTTCTGTCCAAATATCAATTCTGTCACAAAATTTGGAACCTTGAGACTCAGACCTTTCTGACAATATGTGTTTTGTCAAGATTAGAAAAGGTTTTGATCATAAATTATGAAATATAATGATGCCCAAAAGGGGAGGAGCCTGATAAAATATTTTAGAGTACCGTTTCTATGGTAACGCAACGTTCAATTTCAAAACGGTTTTCACAGGATGAATTCTGAGTTTGTAAGCTTTCAAATGATACCTAATTTATGATAACTACTAAAATATGTGATATAATAAAAAAAGGCGATAAAAAAGATAATATTATATTTTAGAGGATAATATACATATTATACTTTTTAGAGGATAATATTATATTATAATTTTTTATTCAAAAATACTAGATTATGTACTCCAACAGTCTGTTTTATGTTGCAACAAATTATAAAATAGTAAATTAATTTCAATAGTATTTTCTTGTAAAATGTACTCAAAAATATTTATGTTGCAACATTTATAAAATAAAGAGTAAATTAAATTAAACAGTATTTTCTTGTAAAATGTACTTTAATCTGTTTATGTTGCAACATTTATAAAAGAGTAAATTGAATTGAAATAAAATTCAATAGTATTTTCTTGTAAAATCTACTCCAACAGTCTGTTTTTATGTTGCAACAAAATTATAAAATAGTAAATTAAATTCAATAGTATTTTCTTGTAAAATGTACTACAATAATCTTTATGTTGCAACATTTATAAAATAAAGAGTAAATTAAAATAAATTAAATAGTATTTTCTTGTAAAACATACTCCAATAATCTTTTGTTTTACGTTAGAACATTTATAAAATAAAGAGTAAATTGAATTGAAATGAAATTCAATAGTTTATTCTTGTGAAATGCAATACATGGTGTCCTGAAAATGTTGAAATGTTCTTTCTTTCAGTGTTTTTCTCCACAGCGACAGGGTTTTGCTACACTTTTGCTTTAAGCTGTCCATTACCCTTCACCTCTGTTCTCCATAATAGCCGGGTGGTTTCAATCAGGTGCGTTGCGTTATTGTAACCGCTGGACCTCTGGGCTGTGGCGTGGTCATGGGTAATGACTGCGCTGTCAAGCTAATGCCACCAAATTAGCATTTTAATTTCTGCAGGTTTGGCAGCCGGTGCACAAGGAAGGCTCGTGGAGAGATGCTATAGAGATACTATTGTTAGAAGCACAAAAATGGAGCGCACTGATACAATGAATAAAATTACAGCGGCTAAAAATACAGCATGCTGAAAGCTCCTGCAACGGGCTCAGGATTGAAGACGCAGCGTCGTCGTGTTGTTCTGTGCCTCACATGCTGGAAAGCATTCAGTTGAACAGGCACAGATTTGGTTTGGTTTGGATGCGGGCATGTGCTAATGTGATTATGTGTGTGAGGATGTGTTGTGTGCACAGAAAGTCTAACTCAAAACCGTTCAGGGTTCAGAATGGCATACTGGTGCTCAATCCAAAACATTTCTGAAGT